ATACAAATACTGAACTGCAACCTCCATCTTTATTTTTTGATCATTTTCTTCTACTATTGCTGGCTAAGTAATACAAAAGAACAACATCTGCAGGGCCAGTCGTTGCCCCTTTTAGTGTTAGAACCTCAAGATCTTATCTCACAAAAAAATCAGGTTAAGTGGTAATATGCAGATTCAGAACTACACACAGATTATGAGAATTGAAGCAGACAGGGAGATGTTAAACCATTCTTCTCTTGTTTCTCCCTAAAAAGGCTAGGGGCTGTGAAAGGACTTGCCTTTTGCCTTTGCCATCCCAGCTTGCAATGCACGTATCAGAAGCCTGTTGCATTTTTTAAAAAGGATGTATACTAAGATGCCATTTAATGTAGTTTCTAGAAGCTCTTTGGATCCCAACATCTCTGTATATCAGGATTTCTCAATCTTTGTCACTGGAAGACATGTGGTCTTCAACTCCCAGAATTTCCCAGCCTGCCATGCTAGCTGGGGAATTCTGAGAGTTGAGGACCACACATCTGTAATTGACCAAGATTAGGAAATCCTGCTGTATATCATTAAAGATTGCTCCAGGAGAGCCACCTATGATTAAATTTATATAGATAAACAACGAAGCAACAAAAGCTGCACATTCCTGCCTACCTTAGAGGAATGGTTTTTTAAAGTTTCTTATTTATCAGAAATGGCAAAAATATCGGCTTATCTGAAAGACCATTCACAAGAGAGATACAACTCTGTATGGAAAAGATGGGTAAATTTTGTTCAGAACAAATATGGGATTAGAAAGTATTATTTAGCTTTTGAATAACTTATTGTACAAAGTTGTTATGGTTAGATTTGTTGATTTTATTGTAATGGAGTTAAAGGGGTTCTAAAAATTTTTAGGATTTATGTATAATTGATTGATTTTTATTTAATTTCTTATGTTCTTTTTTTGTTGTTTTTAGCTCTGTACTCAGCTCTGGGAAGGGGGGGAGGGCTAATGGGAGGGGGGAGGGAGAGAGGTGGGGAGGATTTTATTGTAAAATGTTTATAAAAAATTTTAATAAAAAAAAGCTGCACATTCCTAAAAGAAAATATCAATTCAACAACTTTTTGTTGATGCTGGAATACTAATAGTATAATATTGGGACCAGGTGTGTGCATCAGAGTGTAAATAACCAAGGACATAGGGAAGAAGGCTCCTCTCTCCCACTTCAGCATATTTAGGAATTCTGAAGGACAAACTGCAAGGCCAGAGTTAAAGTGACCTAACTACCATCACAAAAAGATTAGACATAGTTCTGATATTCACATTTCAGCTTTTTTTTTTTTTAATTTAGGGGCAGCCTTGTTCTCCCCCACCCCCACCAAGATTCAAAGAAATTGTCTCCGTTTTTCTCCGCTGTGGGCTTCTGGATAGTGTTAAAAACCAGCAATTTCCCAGTACCTTCTGTTCTCTCCTCCCTGCCACGTTTCCTTCTTATACTTCCCCAGACTTTCTGTTTGCTTCTCTGTTCTCAGTTTCTTCTGCCAAGTTGTGGGAAGCACACCAAATCTGGCACCAGGGAGTTCTCCGACTCCCTAATCTAAACAAATGGAAACAATTTGTCCACTCCAGAGCCTGGTGTAAAGTGTTATCCAGCTTTTCCTCCAATAACTTGAAAGGGCTTCAGTAAACTTGCTGACCTTGCAGTTCTTCCCTTAGTGAAAAGCAAAACTAATTTTCTTTGATCCTTCATTCCCCAATATTTAATCAGGAATGGGGCCTTCACATTTCTTAGAAGCCTCTCTCCCCAGTTTCTGGTTAAACTCTGATTGTCAGCCAATCAATTTTTCCCCACCTTCTTTAATTGCCAGAATGAAAAAGAACAAAGCCAAAATAAATAAAGTTGACCCACTGTTCCCTTCAGCTGGCAAGAGACATTGTACGTCCAGAAGCAGCCTAACGAATGCGCTGCTTTCAAGTCAAAGGGCAGAACAGCCAAACCAGCCAAGTTATATTTTGTTATCTGAATCTGATACAAAACATCCCACAAAGTGTCCCGTCCCATTCAGCAAATACATTAAATGACTAAAACTGTCTTTGAAAAGTAGCTATGTGTACAGGATTCCTGTATGATTTCTATACTTACCTTCTATTCAGTGGACTATATGGGGCTATATTCTAGGGTTCCTCTGAAACAACTGTATGTCCCTTGATCTTTCAACCACCAACAGAAAGCCAGACAGACCAGAACAAAGTTCACATTTTTGCTTATTACTTCTACATTGTAATGGGAATCCTTGGAGTTAGGATTGGGGGGGAGGAATACCTAAGTTGACGTACATCTGAAGCTTATAGGTAGTCCTCAATTTACGACCATGATGGAGCATGCCCATTACACTCATAAGTAATGATGGTCATAAAGCGGGTCATATTTCCAATCCAATTTTATGACCCATTTTTTGCAGTGGTTATTTAGTGAATCCCTTTTTCTTTATGGGATGTTGCCAACACTTGGAAGTAAATGCTGGTTTTGGTAAAAATGACAGAAATCATGGTCACATGACTACAAGTCACTGCAAATAGCCATAAGTAGCCAAGAACTATATATATTTATTTCCCTTCTGTGAGTTGTCTGCTTAGAGCAGGGACAGGCAACCTTGGCTCTTTTATGACTCGTGGACTTCAACTCCCAGAATTCCTAAGCCAGTCATGCTGGCTCAGGAATTCTGGGAATTGACGTCCATGAGTCATAAAAGAGCCACAGTTGCCTACCCCTGGCTTAGAGAAAGCCAGGGCAGCAAAAGAGCATCAAACAATGAAGATGGAAACAAGGAATATTTCTGTGGTTTCAACAGCCAAGAATTCTCTCAGTTAAAATACTTCTTTATATATCAATCATTTCAAACCCATGAGGCAGGATTATAGCTCTCAACATTCCCAGCCAACCATTGACCATTGGGACCATATAAAACCATCAGGATAAAATCTGGCATAAGGAGAAGGTAGTAGGAGAAACAGTAAGCAACAGAATATTCAGTTCAGCAGTGTATATTAGGGTAGGTTTGGAAACCAAAGGATATATGGGAGATGGGCAAAATTTTGGGTGGGAAAGTCTCTGGATTCACCTTGCTTCTCCTAAGACAGGTTTGTCAACCTTGACAACTCAAAGTTGTGTAGGCTTCAACTCCCAAAATTCCACAGACAGCTGGCTGGCTATAGAATTCTGGGAGTTGAAGTCCACATATCTTCAAGTTGTCAAGATTGAGAAACACTGCTCTAATCAGAGCAGAAACATGCCCCCATAACGGCATTTCATAATGCCAAAGTCAAGTTAATTTTGTCTCCTCTATACCACACCTGAGGCTGCTTAAAACCATCCTTAGATATTTCAATTTTAAAGTAGTGTTTTCTTCTTCTCCTGCTAGTATCTCACTGAAGATCAATTTAAATAACAGAATAGCTGGATTTTGCCAGATGTGGATGGTGGTTCTGCCACCAGTGTAGCATTACAAATTGTCCAAAACTTCAGATGACAAATTGATTTTCATGGGGATTTTTTTTTTTTTTTGCTTCTTTTTAAGGGTAGCAGCACATTTTATCTATTCCCATCCCATTTTGCCTCTGCCAGTGGTGGCAAACCTATGGCACATGTGCCAGAGGTGGCACTCGGAGCCCTCTGTGGGCACACATGCCATTGCCCCAGCCTTGCCTCCCATGACCCCCTCCTCTCCAGCAGCCCCCCTGAAGGAGAGTCGCCCTTGAGCATGGCCCAAATGGAGTAGCACAGCCAAGGACATGGCAGCCAGGCAGCGTAGACAAGACTCTGCCCTCACACCCCATCATGCAGTTGATGCTGCAGGGCACGGGCGATCTGCAGCAGATCCTGGAGGCGGTGAGTAGTCCTGTGGGCAGGTGGGGCAGGGGATGGGGGGGCAGAGCAGGGGCAGGGCAGGGGGTGGAACAGGGCAGGGTGGGGCCAGATTTTGGGCACTAGGTCTCTAAAAGGTTTGCCATCACTGGCCTATGCCATTAGGTGACTTATGGATGTTGCTACCAGTAATTGTAGCACATCTTGCTAATACTACCATGGCCTCAGGCATACATTTCTGCCAGGACAAGGATGGATAGATAACATTTTAGCAGTACTGATTAGCTGTGCTATGTTGTATATTGGGTAGGATATTTTGATTTTATGGGGGAGGTGTATTTTTTTTCTCTTAACTAAGCCTACTTCAAATTGTACAATACAATTCTCATGTGGCTCTCTCTGCTCAGATGGATTGAATTTCAGGATCTATAAGGGTTTTGAGGATCTGCAAGAAATAGATGGTGAGGCCAAGGCTTCAAACTGCCCATTGCTAATATGAGGCACATGAATAAATGGTTATCCTCACCTTGGGTCCACAAATGCATCTGGATATCCTTCCCACTATCCTCACCTTGGGTCCACAAATGCATCTGGATATCCCTCCCACTATCTCTGAACATCATCCATGTGGTTGAGGATTGGAAAAGTTAGGGGTCCTTGGTGTTGTCTGATCTTGTTTTCTTGGGTACATTTCATTACCCAAACTAGGTGGTATCATCATCATCATCATCATCATCATGTCAGTTTGGGCAATGAACGTCTGCAAGAAAACAACCAAGCTCAAAGAACACCAAGGACCCCTCATTTCAACCTTGACATACAAATGTTCCTCTTTATTGATTAGTCTGTAACATCAAGTGGTAATAGACACCTCAGTCTAGTTTTTTTTTCTCCCCCCTCCCACTTTGCTAATAATTGCTAATGGCTAATAACTGCTAATAACCATTTAGTCCTTTGGTTGCACACAACCGCAGCTGCAATCCTATTCTCCGCTACCTGGGACTAACTTCCAGTTAACCACGGAGGAGTCATTCCCTGGACTAAACGCTCTGCTTATCGCCTCTTGTTAAGGTTCCGGCCGTCCCAAAAGAGAATAAGGGGACGGGGCTGAGCAAGCGCAGATGGGCCAGGCCGGGAAAGAAGCGGGTGGTGGGGGGAGAAAGAAAACGGCTCCTATCGCCGAGGAAAGAGTTAACGGCGCTCGAAACCCAACACCCTGCGGAGCCCGAAGAGGGGAGAAAAGGGAAGGGAGCGCGTGAAGGGATAGAGTCTCTTCGGCGGGCTCGGGGGTTGGAGGCGCCTGTGTGCCAACAAGAAGCTGTTAAAGAAACCCCCAGGCAGGCTTCGCGAGCAGAGGTCACTCGATGCGCAGGAGGGACTGAGCGGCGAGCGGCGAGCAGGAACGGCTTTCTATAAGGACCTGCGGCAACGCGCATCTCCACTGGGGTGAGCCTCCTGGTTGTTGCACAGAGTTAGGGGGCCCGCGGGCGCCACACCTCACTGCAGATTGCACTCCTCTTCCGCTTTATTTTCCTTCCTTCCCCTCCCGATTTTGCATGCTCCCCAACTCCGGCCGAGCCACTAATCAAACGCACCCGGCTTCGGCGTTCCTCCCGCCCTCCCCCGTCGCGTTGCTGCAGCTCCGCCAAATACCCCTCCGCCCCTTCTGTAAACCCGCATAGCTCTGCTTTCCGGAGTGCTCGCCGACTTCCCAGAGTGAAGACGGGGTTATGGCTTCGTCCCGGGACAGAAGGCGATTCCTTAGCGTCTCCGGAGCTCGCCTTCTTAAAAGGAACGATTAGAATAACAGTTGCTTCCACCATCCCTACACAAGCACAAATAACAATGCCGCGATATAAAATAATAGCAAATGTATCCACTGGCGTTTTGTTTTGGTTCCCGTTATTTGGATTCCCATTGTGGACCTCTCGGAATTGAATCCAAACGTGTAGATGTCATACGTGGAATTCTCCTCAGTCACATCTTGGGGGGGGGGGGATGTGCAGAGGGTGTGTGTGTGTGTGTGTGTGCGGGAGGGGGAGGGGGGAACGCTTGAATCGTGGCCCAGAATGAAAGCAGAAAGGTTGAGAGTTCCAAAAGAGCAGTGTTGCTCAATCTCAGTGATATTAAGATGTGTGAACTTCAACTCCCAAAATTCCCCAGCATGGAGAATTCTGGGAATTGGAGTCCTCACATCTTAAAACATGCTGGCTAGGGAATTCCAGGAATTGAAGTTTGTGCATCTTAAAGCATGCTGCTTTAAGCTGCTGAGGTTGAGAAATACTGCAGTAAAATATAGAGTCATAACTGTGGGAATGATAGTGGAAAGAGCAATTATGGCCAATAGATAAAGATATACAACAACAACAACAACAACAATGTCTTGTGAAGGTCAGTAAGCCAGTAGTTCCTGCAGAAAATAGCAGGCAGCCTAATTGTGAATAGTAACCAAAGTCAATGCCCGGCCACCAAAGCAGTGAGGAAAGGGTGCCCATGGGAGATTTATCTCTACTGTTGCAGCAACACACTTTCTAGGCATCATTCAAAACCATTTCCCTATGTAAATTCCAATGCATAGGGGAGGCAGGAGGTATTGTGTTGAAAATCAAATACTTTTGATATCGAAATGCCTCAGCTTAACATCAGCAGTGGGCTGCAGCAAGATGAAGGTCCCAGAATGGGGAAATAGCATAGCACTTAGACTTATATACCACTTCATAGCGCAGCCCTCTCTAAGCAGTTTACAGAATCTGCATATTGCCCCCAACAATCTGGGTCCTCATTTTACAGAACTCAGAAGGATGGAAGCTGAGTCAACCTTGAGCTGGTGAGGATCGAACCCTTGGCATTGAGCTGAATTAGTCTGTAATACTCTTACCACTGTGCCACCACAGCTCTTAAACACCCCCAAACTGTAAGTGACCCATCCTACTGCAGCAAGATAGCTACATGGATAAGCCCTGTTTGAAAAATTACAATCATATGCATCTTTTAGTAGTAAGCAACTTACCACAGAGAATTTACTCCAAATAATGCTCTGTTTCAAAATAATTCTAACATTTTTAACTTACATTTATCATAATGTCAATTTAAAGAATGACATTGATTTAAGGATAGGGAATGTTGTTGTTATTTAAGGACATTAGGGGCAACTGTTTTCCCATCTTCTTCCCTTCACCAGTGATCAATAATTTAGTTACTTCCTATTCAGCTGTTTCATCTAGGAGTTCCTTCCAAGGACAATCACTTTAACAAAATCACTGAAAAAAAATGTAGCAGGCCTTAACTCAGGCATGTCAAACTCGCGACGTCGTGACATCGCGCAATGTATCGGGCCGGTTTTGCCATTGCCAGCAATGGGGTGGGCACAGCTTCCACATGACACATCCGGCCCGCGGGCCGGCAGTTTGACACCCCTGCCTTAAGTCATCAAAGTGAAGAGATTGAAACCCAAATATTTTCATGGCCTTAATTAAAATACAGGTTAAAGCAGGGGTAGTCAACCTTGGCTCTTTTATGACTCGTGGACTTCAACTCCCAGAATTCCTGAGCCAGCTTCAATTCTCAGGAATTCTGGGAATTGAAGTCCACGAGCCAAGGTTAAAGTAAGGGTAAAGGACAGTGAAAGTAGTTAGTTATTTAAGGACAGCCTTAATTAAAAACTATTGATGGGAACTAGGGGGCAGCAGCACCAAGGTGATCTTGCTAATCTCAGAAAGGTAAGTAAGGCAGGGCCTGATCAGTACTTGGAAAAGAGACTAACTCTAGGGTTGTAGGCTACTCTGGGCAAACCAAAAGGAAAAAACAACCCAATCCAATCCTCAAAGAAGGTTGTTGCAATCTGCTTTCATACTATCACAAAAACTATATGGAGATGGCTATGCGTTTTACTAGGAATTGAGCTCAGTTCAGGCACTGCTTACTTTAAAAAATTGTAGCTAAAAATAATAACTGCTCATTTTATGGATTTCTGTAGCTGAACTATTTAAAGACAGTCAGCTGTAGGGACAAAACTATATATTATTTTCTTCTGTTCAATGCATCCAATTTTTGGAGACTGCCTTACAAGCTACATATGGCAAAGGAAATCGGGAGGTTTTGCAGAAATAATAGAAAAGGGTTTTTCAGTACTGGATCTTTGGTGTAAATGTTAGGGATATTTTTACCCATGTAGTTTTTTTCATCTTACATTTCTATTTCCATTCAGACATACTCTACGTCAGGGGTGTCAAACTAAAAAGAGTCGTGACTTGTCACATGATGTGGTGAGTTTGACACCCGTGCTCTATATGGAAGGAAAAACACTTATCCTATAGGGATCAGTTTTACAGCCAGCTGCACTTAGTATAAGAAATGATTTGTATATAGATCATCTTGTGATCTGTATTGTACAACTGAGAAATAAACATTTTCCCTTCCATCACAGCATCAATTAACAACTTGTACAGAATGGAGGCAGAAAATATCTATAAAAAAGGAATTTACATGCTCTTTATTTACATGCTCTTTAAGTTCCAGGATTAGTACATTTATTAAAGTACAGATAGTCCTTGACTTACAACCACAGTTGGAACCAGAGAAATAAGGTGGTTAAGTGAATTATCTAAGAAATGAGGTTGTTAAGCAAATTATCACACGACTGAATCCAATTCTATTATTTTTACTGTGGTCATTAAGCAAATCACATGGCTGTTAAGTGAATCACATGATTTTTAAGTAAATCTGGCTTCCCACTTGTCAGAAGCCAGCAAAGAAGATCACAAAGCACAATGATGTGACCACAAAATATAGCAATTGTTGTAAATGTGAATTGGCTGCCAAGCACCCAGGTTGTTATCATGTAACCAAGGGGATGGTGCGATGGTCATAACTTTGAGGACAGATCATAAGTCACTTTTTCTTAGACCAATGTAACTTTGAACTATCATTAAATGAATGGCTGTAAGTTGAGAATTACTTGTACAACATTCTGAACTCACAGATACATTGAGTGTTATCCCAAGGGAGCATTATTAGTGGTTTGAAAATGAGAACAATGAAAAAGGAAGATCAGAGGGAAATCTCAAAGGTGCATTTTCAAAAAGCAACTGGACTTTGTTTTTTGCTTGAGGAAAATATTTTGCTTCTCATCCAAGAAGCTTCTTCAGTTCTGAACAGAGTCAAAACTGAAAAAGTTCTTGGATGAGAAGCAAAATGTCTTCCTCAAGGAAGAAAAAAGTCCAGTTGCCTTTTGAAAAAAACACCTTCGAGACAATCATGATTGGGATGACTGAGAATCTCCATGGACAATCAGAAGGAAATGATATGTAAAGAGTTCATTCAGGGCATGTTACTTATAGAGGTACCGGTATTAGTCACAGAATAGTTGTTTGGTGTGGCACAAAACATTTTTCCCTTGATTGGCATATTGTAGTGGGATAAGGACTATGTCTCATGTCTTAAACAAAGACAAATTTCAGAACTAATGGATTTGAAGTTGGCTTTTTGCGGATGAAGTTGGTCACTGTAAAACTTCAGTGGCAAGGGGATTCTGCCTTCTTGCTTGCCTTCCTTATTATTTCTGAACAGTTCCCATAGAAAAAGTGAGGTACAACATTGGCTCCTTTCTGGTGTCCTATCCTTTTCACTGATTTTTCTTGCAGTTCACAATGAAAGCCATCCAAATCAGCCTGCCCCTGGCTTTTCTTGTGCTCCCGCTCTTTGTGCTTGCGGCTCCCAGTGAGGAGCTTGGCCAGCAAGAAGTCCCTACCAGCTTGAGTGGTTGCAAGAGATGTTGTGATTCTCTAGATGTCCCTGGGCCCTCCGAAGCCAGTCTTGGTGCAGACAGACCTCACGCTTTGCCATTCGTAATGCCAGAAGTTCGTCCATATATCAACATCACAATTCTGAAAGGTAAGCTATTATCATCTGTTACTTTCTGACTCATGCTACCTTCTCACTGTTTCCTCCTCATTTCATCTCTTTATCTAAAGCAAATTGGAAACCTCTCTAGCAGGATCTTGTGATTTGTTTATTTGCCTTAGTAAATCATCATGTATATATATTATTGTGCTAAATATGTGTGCATCATCTTTCCCAAGCCAATAACTGTCAACCACCATGGAAATGTTTATTTAGGAAAAGAATCATTGACCACATTAAATCTTTAGTCTTATAACCCTTGGCTGTACTGGCCAAACATGTTGGGAAATAAGTCCAAAACATCTGGAGTGACAAGTTGGAAAAGTCTGCTATAAAGTCTCATTTGGTTAAAAACTCTACTGTTTGCACAGGTGAGAACCAAAACACACCCACTTCTTCAGGCAAAATTAAAGCACATTTAATGTAGATAAAACAGAGGCCTGCTGCAGAAAGTGTAGCATGCATGCTTTATTTATATACAGCTTAAACTTAAACAACTTCTCCATCTGGGTCATTCAAGCATCTCCTCAGGACAGGATCTGTTGCCACATGTTCAATCAAATCCTGCATCACCTCCTATGTTCCACCTCCCTTTATTGGACTTTTGTAGTATCCCTTAATTATGGTTTCTAGAGAGGCTACATATGCATGAAATACATTGTAAGGCAGGATTCTGAAACCACACACAAGCAGTGGTTGTCTTCCACAGTTTCTCCTTTTTCTCTCTCTCCTTCTTTCTACAGGAGAAAAAGGAGATCAAGGAGAGCCTGGAGTTCCTGGGAAATGGGGCAAAGAGGGACCCCCTGGTGATCAGGGACCCCAGGGTCCAAAGGGCAGCAAGGGACAAATGGGGGCACCTGGAGATCCTTGCAAGCACCAGTATGCAGCTTTCTCAGTGGGCCGGAAGAAAGCTCTCCACAGTAATGAAGGCTACCAGGCTTTGATCTTTGACACTGTCTTTGTGAACCTCTATAGCCATTTCGACATGTTTAAGGGCAAGTTCTACTGCTATGTGGCAGGCCTGTATTTTTTCAGTCTCAATGTCCACACCTGGAATTTCAAGGAGACCTACATGCACGTCATGCGGAATGACCAAGAGGAAGTCATTCTCTATGCTCAGCCCAGTGACCGCAGCATCATGCAAAGCCAGAGTCTGATGCTGGAGCTGCGGGAGAATGATGAGGTTTGGGTGCGTCTCTATAAGCGACAGCGTGACAATGCCATCTACAGTGACGATGTGGATGTCTACATCACTTTCAGTGGTTATTTGATCAAACCCAGCCTTGAATAGCTGTTTCCCTCCAAAGCACAAATTCATCCTCTAAACATCCTCTTGATTTCCTGTGAACTACTGCAAATAATACAGAAAATGACCAAAAGATCTGAAAACAGAGCACTGAAGAAAACTTCTTTTCTTTTGAGAATGTCAACTGAAAAATAATAATATTCATAGGTAAAAAAATTACAGAAATGTCTTGCTGATTTATGTGTCCTTCTCAACAGTAGGTGTGATTGTAAGGTATGGACTGGAAATTCTAAGCAGCCTCATGAAATTTCTTTACCTGCTAACTCAGAATCATTTTGTAAACATCTTTGTTTGGACATGACACTTCCTAAGCAGAATGTTCTAATTTAGATTGTTTATATGAGGTAAACTCTTTGAGTTATATCAAGTGAGATAAGTTACCGTATCTTATCTACAAATCTACAAACCAAATGTAGGCCAGCAAAAATGTTATTTTGGCACTTCAAGTGCTTGACAGCGCCCTTCTTTTTGCTAAAAATTCCTGGTGGGCAGCCTTATATGACTGATAGTTGCAATCACCTTCACAAAATTTACATTTGTAAATGTTATACTGTATAGGGTTAGCATATTTTACTGTGATTTGTGCATCTGTCTAATGAACTTGTTATACATTGTATAACTTAGGGATCTCTTCCATCACTATGTTAAACATATGCAGGATTATGACTTAGCTCAGGCAGCAAAAAAGTTAGAAATACTGCAACGCTTCCAATTTGTCCCCCAAATCAAGATTCTTTAAGAGATTCCATGCTGGTCCCTGAATTTGTATTATAATTGATTGAATCACAACAAATCTATAAATGTATTACAACAGGATCCATTTTCCTTCAGCTGACATAGATTGATATTACAGATTTTCCCATAGGCAGATCACATGAAGGCCATGATGTGGGCAAAATAATCAATGGGGTTTCCTTTAATATCATTGTGAGCTGACCTATGTCCCATGACAGAATTAGTGATTGGGGCTGGGCAGTGTTTCAGAGGTAAATTCTTTGAAGAATGTGTACATACCGGTAGCCCTGGCAGTAACTTCTTAAAACAAAGAGATCTGTTACAGAGATCATGCTGCAACTGTGCAATTCTAGGAAAAGGTGTAGCTGTTTTAAGATATTTTCAACATGTGCTATATGATCTTTCCCATGCTGCAAAATATCTCTCCCCTTCAAGTCCAAGACGCTGTGCAGCTCTACTGGTTAGCTGGATAAACTATTAAATGTAAGGGCAAAGGATTGCAAGGAATTATAAATAAAAGAAAGATACAAATGCTTGCATATCAGCTTCTCTCACTGAGGGCAGCAAGCGCCATTTGTACATATGGAGATAAAAGAGCCTAGGCTGGCATTCTCTTGCTAAAGCTACAAAAGAAATAGGCTACTCCAAGGATGGAAAAACATGAAAGAAATAAAATTTCTAGAGGAACTTTTACTTTCTAATTCTCACATGTGAGACCTGCAATAAAATATGCATAGTCATTCAAGATACAGCATGTCCTCTTCCAGGAAAAAGCATTTTATTCTTCTTCTTTCGTAGTTTTCCATTCCCCTGCTGTCCCAAGAGTACAAAATATGCTTTTTAGGGAATGGAACATTTGGAAGAATTCAGTGTGCCATCCATGGAGTTATTTATGATCTAAAACTTAACCTTCCAACAGAAGTGTCCATCCAGAATTTTTCTCCATCAGAGCAGGATAAATCACAATTCTTCAAGAAAATATAAACACAAATTTCTTTTCTTTTCAATCCCAATTTCCATTCTGCAATTATGCATAAGTTAGTTATGTGATCCCCCCCTTTTTTTATCCCCCAAAGCACTGCTTATCTGTTAAATGAAAATTATAATGCTGACCCACCTTGGAGAGTTGTGGTCAGGATACTAGAGATCATCTTCTATCAACCTGGTACCTTGCAGATAAGGCAGGATTACAACCTCCAATGCATCTGTTGTAATCCAACACATCTGGAGATGCCAGCTTGGGGAAGACTGCTTTAAGTAAAGCACTGAGCACTTCCTAAAATATGACTTAGATGCTAAAAAAATTCTATTACAATGCACTGTATGTTAACAATAATTTTTGTGTATAGATGGTGAATATACACAGACACTGCTATATGCATTTGCTGCCTATTCCACTCACAGGTAACTAAGTAATTTCAAGTAATTTTTAATAGATTGAGAAGCCAAGAGGCTTCTCAATCTATTAAAAATAAATGGAAATAGACAGGTCATGCATTTTTATTTTGACCCAGTGGATAATCTTGTAAGGCAGGCTATGAGAAGTATCAGGATGCCTGTTTTTGTAATACAGGGAAAGCTGTAGCTGATTGCATAATAATCTGAATTCATTCTCTCTGCAAAGTAGTGGTTTAAAAATCAGCTGTTGGGTATATGCAACACATGGCGTCCCTGTGTCTCCAGAGGGAACAACCAGAATTTCTAGTACTGAATTGCTTCCAGATGTGAGAACTGAACTCTTTGAGCCTTTGCCTCCATTCCTGTCTCAGCAAAACTCTCTCAAGTACTTCTACTGGGAAACAGCGTCTAATGTTTCAAGGACAAAGTTTGTGCATCGTTGTTATGAGGCTGTAGGCCTGCTTTTTGGTGCTATAAAAAAACCTTTATAATTCTTGGTGCTAAAGAAAACTTTTTGATGCAAAATTTGAAAAATAATTTCAGTTTGCTGGGAAATAACAAATAGGAAGGCCTGTGGAATTTATGGTGCTTTGTGGAAATCATCAGACAATGGTTTGTGTGTATATATGTATCTTTTAAATATTAAAACTTCTTGATTGCACCTTGAGTTGTCCTTTTCTTTGTAGGGCTTTTTTTTCTGTGACAAAGATTTTCTATTACAAGATTTTAGCATCCTTAGAAATTGAGTACAAATGTTACTTTTAGTGGAAATATTTCTAAAATATAGGAAAACCAGCATGCAGACTGATGGGAGAAAGCCATTACACATTCTGTGAAAAAAAGTCTTTAAGGCATGAGGAAAATTAGAATAATAAGCAATTTCCATGTGTTATCAAACACCCCACGGGACCCCTTTTAGTGCAGGAACTGAAAAGATGGAAAAGAGGACAATATAATTTGATTGCTAGTAACTAGGAGTTATTTAGTTATCTAGTTGGAAGGATCCTCAAATGTGGCTGGCTTTGCTTAAGCCCCAGATTGATATGTGTAAAAATCTCTAGGTATTTGCCTTTTGGTAGTGATGAGTGTCTGCAAAGGGATGAAATGGGATACAAAGGAATAAATATGTCCCTGGATTCTCCCACAACTACACACAGATGTAGTAAATTTGTGGTGAATTGGTATTTTGATTAGGAAAATTATTGGGGGGGAAATCTATGTTTTTGTGTAGATTTTTTCTTCATCACACAACCTTTGTAGTAAATTATTGTAGTGTTCAAAAACAAGCTCAGTTTTTGAGCACTTGTGCTCAAATTCAGCCACTGACCATTTGTGGGAAAGTCCTTAAAACACTGTTTTACAATAAGGTTCATGGAGAATCATTATTCTCTGTACAGCTTGCAAGTGCTGAAAAATATTCACCACTTAACAGGTTGTGGGATGAAAAACTACAAAAAACGGGAGCTTTTATGTGAAAATGCAATGAATGTCCTACTTTCCTTTTCTTCAGCATATATTGAAATAAATATGCCTTTTTTAGGATTTTAACAAATCTCACTCCAAAAACTAGTGAAATTATTGTCATGTGGAAATCATACATCATATTAAGATTGACAATCAATGTATTAAATATAAAAAAATAAAAGCTTGCTTCATTTTAATATTCTTTTTCTTACTTTTTTGAAGAACCAAAATAGTCATATGCTCCAGCTAGGAATTATGCTTTGTGTGAAATCAGATAGGCTAGCGGCAATCCTCTTTTGTATGTATATTTATTCTTTTTGCATATAAAATAGAATAGATAGTCTGATTTTAGCATCAAATATACATGACTTGTCTTGACTCCTTGACTTGACTGCCTGGATGAGTCCCTGTAGTTTTTTTGGCAAGATTTCACAATTAGTTTGCCATTGCCTGTTTCCTAGGACTGACAGAGAGCAACTGGTCCAAGCTGACTTTGTGTCTAAGGCAGGACACAGTGTCTCGCATGATGCCTTAAACTCTCTCTCTCTCTCTCTCCCTCCCTCCCTCCCTTCCTTTATCCATCCATCCACCCATCCATCCCACCAGAGTCTTGTAATTGAGGCAGCATTGTAATTATATAAAATAAATGGATGGATGGGATAAATTGATAGGTAAATCAAGGTAACTGTCTTTTCAATATTCAAGAAGCTAAGCATGTTATTTATACAGGATGTCTTGACAAAATGTGTGGCTGGTGGTAGTATGCTTATTTTGGCCCTAAGCATTGACCCCAATGTGTGGTTTCCTCTTTCCTACAAGTTTTTCATCTGATAAAAATCTACATACACAAAAGTAGTTTTTGTAAGAAAGTGTTTCTTGGAACAGAAGTGGTTTGGTTTCTACACATAATCTAGGCCAGCCAGGGCTATCTCAAGAACAGCCTAGACTGGGTATCTTCTTTTCTTTTTTAAAAAAAGATTTTATTGGTTTTTTTTTTAATTTTTAAGAAAAAGTACTCAGGACACACTGTGGTGTTTGGGTAATCAGACATTCAAGAGTAAAAACATAAATAAACAACTCAACTTAATACATTCACTGTCCCCTCTCTATTTCCCTCAAATAACATAATACATTTAAAATATTCCATTTCTAAATTAAATTTCTATTACTACTAAACCTGTTTTAAAACTTTATCAGTTTACAATTACCATAATCAAATTTAACTTTAAATCAACAAGTTATCAATTCAGGTATCCCTTCCAGATGTATTCTAGTTCTTAATCTCTCTCATCCCTCCTTTTATCACCAATCTCATTTATTTCTTCTTCCACTACACAATAGCTATCTTAGTTAAAAAAATAATGTTAAACCTTAATTCATTTCAATTCATTACACAAACTTCAAATCTCATCCAATTGATTATCATACCTTATCACATCTATGTTATTGTACAAAAAGATCATCTAACTAATTTAAAACACTCCATTAATTATTGAAACCATCCCAATCTAAAAAATCAACATTTTTTCAATTCCAATACATAATTTTCATCAAGATAAATCGATTATTCCAAAAAGTACATTCTTAACCTATTTAAAATACCTGTTCTGAAAATCACCCTTGTATATATATATTTATATTTTTTCTTGTTTCTAACTCTAAATCATAATCCTTAAAACAATCCATAAAATCAACATTACCTTTTAATCCATTACACAATTTTAAATTTCTCTTTTCAGTCTAATTCTGGCTTTTTTTCTGTGCCAGGAAGGTTTCCATAAAGACGCTTCTCTTTCAGCCAGTAGATCTATTTTTGTTCCTTGCAATAGCCTTTGAAATGATAGAAATCCCATCCTCTGCATTAGACATCTATTTCTCTCCTCCTTGAAGCATCGTTGCTTTGTAGTTTGAAATTTCAGTCTTTGCTTCTTCTGTTCCTTTAAGTTGTAGTTGAAAGGTTTATAAGATAGAATAATTTCCTCTTTTATCTCTGTTGATTCCTCTTCTAGTATGTTTTGATTTATATCATAGTCAGATGTAGCCTGGACATCCATTTGAACATTTGAAGTGAAATTTCTGGATCTTAGTTCTATAGTAAACTTTTTCATTGTAGCACATATTTCTGCAGTAGCCTCATAAATCTTTTCCAATATAAGTGTACAATTAATTGTGACTGAGGTTTCTCCATTTTGATAGTGATTAAAAAGAGTCTCTTTTTTTCTTTTTTTGTGGAGGCTATATTTGATATCCGACTGCTCTTTAGAAGGCCAGATCCTGAAGTTGAAACTCAAATACTTTGGCCACCTAATGAGAAGGAAGGACTCACTGGAGAAGGGCCTAATGCTGGGAAAGATTGAGGGCAATAGAAGAAGGGGACGACAGAGAATGAGATGTCTGGATGGAGTCACTGAAGCAGTAGGTGTGAACTTAAATGGACTCCAGAAGATGGTAGAGGACAGGAAGATCTGGAGGAATATTGTCCATGGGGTCGCGATGGGTCGGACACGACTTCGCAATTAACAACAACAAATATTTGATATAATTTAGGCAATATCCAGCTGCACAGTTCCCACAGCTGCACAGCTTATCTTTTCTCTTCAAAAGTATTTTGAAGGTCAGGTCTGTTCCATCTTCAAACCAAGTAACCAGAAGTTTCAGTATTAAGTTTTTGCCACTAGATGTCCTCAGTAAATTAAAAAAGGTCTTTTCCAGACACCATTTCCTTTTTTCTATCTTTTAAAGTATAATGTGAAAAAGAAATAATCTTCCAGCATAGGATGATAGTACAGTTCTTAGAAAGAGAGGAAATGTTTTCTTTTTTTGTATAGAAGTAAAATATAGTCTTTAAAATTTTGTTCTATTTTTATAGAACGCCTTTCTTCCCAAAGAATGTAGACATTGCCTTTTCAAGCCAGGGAAATAATTCCAACAAGGCTCTTTCAGGTACCAAAAACAAAATAAAATAGAGAGAATAGCAAAGAAAAATCTCACCCAGATTCACCCCAGGGGTTCTTACAGCTTAGATGTTCTTTGACTTGCGGTTTGAAGCAGCAGGGTGATCAGCCATTTTACTGGCCGATCTTCTTCTCCGTCGGCCCTCAGAGATAGCTCGGACAGCTGAAGGAGCCGTCACTCCTCAGCAGCTGAGCAGAGCCTCCTTGACAGAAATCACATCCTCCAGGGTGACTTTTGACTCGCATAAAGGTCTACCAGCGGAAGGAAGGCTAGCTGATGAGGAGGCAAGTCTCCCCGTGCGACTAGGGATGCCACGAACAGGAACCGGAAGTCGACTGGGTGTCTTCTTCAAGTTACTTCATCTGTCGCTCCTAGTAAGTCTATTAGAAGATGGCGAGATCATGGATCTGATGGAGTGAGTCTAATATGCACAATACATGTGGCAGGATAGTACCGGTAGTTCTATTGTTAAAATCCATAATACACTAGTTGTGAGTTCTAGTCTACAAATTGAAAACTTGCTGCATTCTAGTACAGAGCTATAATGTGATTCTTAACTACAATTCTTATGCATAATATGGAGAATACATATGTGCCGGTACTCATATATTCCCATACCGACGAAGATAGTTAGAGTCTGATTTAACTTGGGTTGTGAAGCCAAGTTAAAGCGCAGGTGGCGCAGCAGTTAAGAGTGCAGTACTGCAGGCCACTTTAGCTGACTGTGTTCAGCAGGTCAGCGGTTCAAATCTCACCGGCTCAAGGTTGACTCAGTCTTCCATCCTTCCGGGGTAAGTAAAATGAGGACCCAGATTGTTGGGGGCAATGTAAATATATATATACATTGCTTACTGGTGTACACCGCTTAGAGAGTGCTCGCACTTAAAGTGGTATATAAGTCTCATAAATAAAATAAATAAATAAATATAACATTAGGATTAAATCAATTAATTTAATCACTAATTTTATTCTAGAAGAAATTGATAGTTATATATGTACCACATCCTTAGCCATATTGGTTATGTTTCAATTGCCATGTAAGCCTAGAAATGTTAATAAATAAATTATGGTTAACCACAAATAAAAGTGTTATGTGAACTGAACCTCAATATTTTGGGATTACCAGTCATAAAAGCCAACTGTGAAGGACACCAAGTTCTGATGTTTTGGGCTAAATATCTTTTGTGCCACTCTTATGTCTAAATATTACCCAATCTGTATTGGTTTATAATAGGTCCTAAA